GCTTCTACTACTACTACTGCTACGACAGTGCTGCTACTGCTACTGCTACGACAGTGCTGCTACTGCTACTGCTACGACAGTACGTACTGCTGCTGCTACTGCTACAACAGTGCTGCCGCTGCTGCTGCTACTATACTACTGCTACTGCTACTACTACTGCTACGACAGTGCTGATGCTACGACAGTACGTGCTGCTGCTGCTACTGCTACTGCTACTGCTACGACAGTGGAGCTGCTGCTGTTGCTACTGCTACGACAGTACGCGCTGCTGCTACAGCTACGACAGTGCTGCTGCTGCTGCTGCTGCTACTGCTACGACAGTACGTGCTGCTGCTGCTGCTACTGCTACAACAGTGCTGCTACTGCTGCTGCTGCTACTACTACTGCTACTGCTACTACTACTGCTGCGACAGTGCTGATGCTACGACAGTACGTGCTGACTAGGGCTACTGCTACTGCTACGAACAGTGGGTGGCATGGCTGCTGTTGCTAATACTGAGCTGCTCGACAGTGCCTGAGCTACGACAGGTACGTGCTACTAGCCTACTGGCTACAGCTACGCGACAGTGTGGCTGCTTGGCTGTTGCTATCTACTAGCGAAAGTAGCTGCGCTGCTGCTTGCTGGCTACTGCTACTGCTCTACTGGCTGAACGACAGTACGTGCTGCTGCTGCTGTTATTTGCTACAACAGTAGCTGCTACTGCTACTTATAGCTTGCTGCTAACTGCTCTACCGACAGATACGCGCATGCTGCTAGCGCTGCATTGCTACAACGATGTGCTCGCTACTGGCCTACTGGTCTGGCTGGCTGGCTACTCGCTACGACAGTACGCGCTGCTGGCTGCTCGCTGCTATTGCCTACAACAGTGCTGCTAACTCTACTTCTGTCTGCTGCTACTGCTACGAAGTACGGTGCTGCTGCTGGCTGCTTAACTGCTACAACATGCTCTAGTGCACTGTTCTGCTGCTGCTTACTAGCTACGACAAGTACGTGGCACTGCTGGCTGCTATTATACGAACAGTGCTGCTGACTGGCTACTTCTGCTGCTGCTACCTGCTAACGAACAGTACGTGCTGCTGCTGCTGTGCTGACTGGCTACAACAGTGCTGCTATGCACTTCTGCTGCTGCTACTGGCTACGACAGTACGTGGTGTGCTGCTGCAGGAAAAGCAATCCGCATCACCCCGCAGGCGCCGCATTTACAAACCAGTAATATCTCCTCTTATTGAGGCACACGGCGGCGTGATTACGATTGCGGACCCACGATACTTGCTGATGCGACATGTAGCAGTCAGCAGCAAGCAGGCACAATAGGAGGAGAAGGAGCTGGAGAGGAGAGGAGGCAGGAGGAGGCGGAGGGAGGAGTGAGGAGGTGGGACGCGGCCGAGGAGTAGAGGAGGAGGAGAAGGAAGGAAGGAGGAGGTGAAGGGAAGGAAGGAGAGGGGAGGAGAGAGGGAGGTTAGGAGAGGAGAGAGGAGGGGAAGAGAAAGTATGGAGGAGGCAATACAGGAGGAAGGATGGAGGATGGGAGCGAAGGAGAGGAGGTAGGAGAGGGACTAAGGAGAAAAGAATAAGGCGGAGATGAGAGGGAGGAGAAAGGTGGAGGAGGAGAAGGAAGGAGGCAGGAGGAGGAAGAGGGGGGAGAGTAAGGGGAGGAGACGGGTGAGGAGACGGGAGAAGAAAGAGAGGAAAGATGTGGAGGCAGGAGCAGTGATCAGCAGGCAGAAGGAGGACGAGGAGAGATGAAGGATGGAGGTATATGAGGGAATTGCAACATAATGCAGCTGAACACCATGTCCGACTCACAATGACAATTTCGCTATATAGTATATATTATGTGAGAGGAGTGGTGTGTGTGTGTGCGTATTATATGTGTGCATATATATATATATATAATATACATATAATATGTGTGTGTGTGTGTGCGTATAGTATGTGTGCATATACTATATTATATATACTAGATAAATTATTATGTAATACTATAAACTTCTTGCGAGGCTAGGACGCTAGCAAATACACACCACCACCCACACACACACAACAACACCACGACACAACACACACATCACATCACGACCACACAACCACCAGGCAGGCCACATGCTACGTGAATACGCACGTATGCATGTATCAGTGGAGTAATGCAACGGAAAAAGGGACAGTGGCGCAGAAATAGCGAGCTAGGAGATAGCGTGTTGGCGTTCGCGCAAAGGTCTTCCACAGCGTCCTCTCACGTGCAGCGTGCGTACAAAAGCTCCGTGTCACAAGACTCGCCCATCTATCACCAATGCCCTCTAATTGCGAAAAGCCGCCTTATCACTCATCGCACCTACGAG